AAATAAGGAAAGTTTAACATTAATTGTGGGGCACTTGCATATAAACTCTATGCTCAGCTGTGAGGGCCAAAACATCTCCCCTGCTAAGAAAAAAATAGCAACAAACAACAGACAGAGGGCCTTTTGGAAAAGACCTATTTCCTACAAAGTTACCTGTATTTCTTCTAGAAATGAAATGTGTAGCAATGTTCACCACCTCAGTTTTTAAAAAGTCACTTAAGAGGAGGAGCCGTCTCAGAGCAAGGTGGGATGCAGTGGCCTGCAGGTGTTGAGAGACGTCAGTGGACACAAAGCTGAAGGGACACAGGCAGGAAGGCAGAAGGGAGGGCTGCAGGGGACTAGGGAGTCGGGAGGGTAGCTGCAGCCACCTTACAAGAGCCCTGCGGGTCTAGATGGGGGCTTTGGATTTAATTTGAGAGTCAAGGGGTCGAGGCCAATAGCATCAAAGCTGTGCTCAAGGTTGAATAGCGGGAGTGACTTAAGGTAAACAGCTACCATGAAGTTTGCCGTTAATCAGAAGTAGGGGGTGTGGGGCTGAGTTGGTTTTTGGTAGGGACGGGGCACAGGAAGGGGCATTCCCAGGAGAATGGTCCTCGGCGGCGGCTGCAGCGGTGTGTCTGGTGCGTGCTGGCCTCTGCTGCACTGCCTGGGAATGCTTCATACTGGTTGAACAGAGGATGTACTCTGACAGGCCCTTTGAAGTACAAGATTTGGATGACGAATTAGAGAAAGCCAATAAAACCCTTCACTCAGGAAGTGTGGCAGAGTGACAAAAAGGGACCGAGTGGGCAGCAGGCGAATTAATGTAAAGGATTTCAGAGAAGGTGCTTCAGCTGCACAGCGGAGCTGTTTCCTCCCAGCTGCAGTTACTGGAGTGCCTCTTACTCCTAGGAGGGAAGACAGCGAATTAACCACTTGTTCGTGTATGGGAGCGCTGACTCTGGATAACACAATTTAAAAGAGATGGGCCAGAATGCCATATCATTGTTAGGAGTGTCGCAGGACACGCCTAGGTGAGTTTCTCTGCCAGAGGTAGTGTGTTCACTAATGGTGTGCATTTATCCCCCCAAAGATTGCCTGATAGTAAGGAAAGTTAGTGTAGGCAGAGATTGCTGTTTCTTACCAGCTACTCCATTGAGCGGTGCTAGCTGATACCCTGTCCTTTCAGGGTGAGTTTTCCAAACTGAGCCAGGCTAATCCCAGCACACTGAGAGGCTGAGACAGGTGGATTATGAGTTCGAGTCCAGCCTGGGCCATTTAGCAGTTTAGCAAGAGCTTGTCTCAAGAACTAACAAATGCACTGGGGGTGTAGCTCAGTGCACAGACCATTTGCTGGTGTAATGGTTTCAAGATCCCTTCTGGTGTGGATGATTAGAGGACTTGAGGGTCCCCTGGGACCCTGTGTTTATCAGGTCCTCAGTTAATCCCCGTGATCAGGCAAATTCGGTGAACTTTACTTAGATGTGTTCTTAATTCTTAATTAATGGCAAATCCTAGGCTGGACCTCAGCCCAGGGGTTTTGCCCATGCCTGCTGGTACCTGCACCTCTAAGAGGAGAAGGTGGAGCCCTTTTGCTCAGGGGTTTCACACTTGAAAGACCTGCTTTCTGTAGGCTCAGCATTTGCTTCAGTGACTCAGCAGTTGAAACAAGGCCATTTGGATATTTTCCCTCTTTTAATGTGGACAGATGGAATGATCTTGGTTATTAAAATGAGTTTCTGTAGCCAGGTGTGGTGGTGCACATCTGTAATCCCAGCACTCAGGAGGCTGAGGGCAAGAGGATCATTGCTAGTTTGAATCCAGCCTGGGCTAGATAGTGAGTTGAAAACCAGCCTGAACTGCATAGTGAGACCCCGTCTCAAAAAGGCAAAAAAAAAAGTTTCCCCTGTGAACTTTGTTTCAAGGTAATTTAGCAATAGGTGAGGAAATTAATCTCTGATAAGTCAGTTATCAATAAAACAAAATGATAAAAGGTGTATATTATCATTTTGCAATCTGGAATGCAGTAGCAGACCTCGGCAGCAATGAGCAGGGGCTGCTAAAGTCATTAGGTGAAAACTAATGGGCCCTTAGGGGTGTGAGCAGAATTACGGTGAACGTTTAAATTAGTAGAACATGTATTACAGTAAAAGACATTAGTTATTATTAATGCCATTAGTTCCCCCAAAATACTCCCCTCACCTGAAACACTTATCCCATTGTCCTTTCTGAAGCAGTTCTGGAAGTCCACGTCTGTGAGTGTCTTTAGTGGCGGTATTGTAGCTGATGTTCTGAATTGATTCAGAACATTTCCCTTTCGTGGTCACTTTGACCTTGGGAAAGAGCCAGAAGTTCCACAGTGCCAGATCCGGGCAGTGAGGCGGATGAGGAAAGACCGTGACGTTTTTACGAGCCTGCCTTTGTGCTGGGTGCCACTTGGCAGCACCGTTCCCTGTGTTTCTTGTCACACTTCCAGAACTGCATCAGTGGGTATCAAGAATGCTAGGATAGGTGCAGTCAGAGTGAGGGCGAGGATTTAGAGGGGGAATAATGCCAGTGTGTTGCTCACTGTTACACACTTTTTAGAGTTGTAAATTCACTGTGTATTTTGATCATGCCCTGTGTACTAAAAGAAGCACACCAGTAGACCTGATCACTGGCCAGCCTGATCATTGAAAGAGACTTCATGAGCATCCTAATGAGATGCACTAGGAAAAATCAGGTATCTCTTTTCAGTATTCTTGCCAAAAAAAAAAATCAAACCTAAATCAGAGCCTCTAGTGCACATTTGCTGGAAATGCAGTGAATAAAGAAATATGTTAAAGCACATTCAGGTGTGCAAATTTGGGAAGTTGTTGCTCCTCAAGTTATGGTCCCCAAACCAGCAATTCTGTTGTCTCTAGGAAGAGTTTGATCAAATGCAGGTTCCCAGGCCGTGCCCAAGGCCAGCCAGATCCAGGTCTGCCTTTAACAAGGCTTCTAAGTAATTTGCTTGTAGCTTAAAGTTTGAGAAGTATTGCACAGGACAGTGACCTAGTGTCTTCACAAATAAACAGCAAGGAGAAAAGGAGGGAATTTGTTCCACTTTACAAGAAACTTTAAAAATGTCCATCAAATGTCTCACGTTGATTCTTTTTTTTTATCTTGAATAAACTGTAGAAACATGAAATTTTTATTTTGGTTGTACACAAGATGATAGTAAAGAGTTACAAAACTTAGATGTGATGTTGTGACTTGGTAGAAGTCTTTAACCCTCGGGAAAGATACCCAGTGAAGAGTTTAAAATAACTTGAGTCCTGGGAGAGGGAGAGTGTGTGTAAAATTAGTCATAGATCGATAACTATTGAAGCTTCGTGGTGGCACATACGAGTTTATGACACTGTTCTCCCTACTTGTGTGTGTATAAGTAGTGTGGTAAAAGTAAATGTAAGTAAACAGCCATAGAGTTGCGTACTTTACAATGACAGCAGCAAAGATAATACAGTTGTCCTGTAATGTTCAAGCAGGTGTGAGGACCAGCTTCGGAATGTGGAGGCATGTAGATAGGGGTTGACAAAATGTACAATGTAGAATTGTATCTGAAAATGTTCCCAGCGTCATAGCCATTATTTCAAATCCAATGTCCAGCCTGAGTAATCCACAGGAAGGAGGAAACTATTTCATCATGGAAAGATACCGGGTATAGGATTTGATTTTTGTGTAAGTGGAGCCTTACATGTGTGAGGATGTTAGAATTGCCAATCATCAGGCCTTTAAAGGTGAGATGCTTTGGTAATGAGAGTCCCTACGAATAAGTTAAAAGTCAGACTCTCACATCCTGAATGCTACTTAGACTTACAGCAGTTATAGTCATTTTACCTTCAGGACAGATTTCTTGAGATCACCGAGGATGATGTGTATAATTTCAGACTTCAAAGATGGCCCCGCTGAAGGACCTGATTGTATGGTTGTGTTTTAACTCTGTTATTGCTTAGTGGCTACGATTTCCACCAGAGCAGTTCTCCCCTGTACCCAGCGCTTATTCCATTAAAATCACATCGGAAACCCACCCCTCATCTCAAGAGATCTTGCTTTGATTGGTTCTGCTCAGTGAGTCATAAACTGTTCTGTTTCCGAACTGCCCCAGAGAGCTTCTTAAAAAACACAAACACAAACTCTCACATTGGGATATAGCTCAGTGGTAGAACACTTGACTAGCATGCATGTTGTCCTGGGTTCGGTCCTCAATACAGAAAAATTAAAACGAAAACTCTTGCTCACTCCCAGTGGTTATTTTTCCTAGGTCTGCGATGGGGCCCCACAGTGTGCATTTCTGACAAGTTCCCAGGATGCAGCTGCAGACGGCACTCTGAGCTGTCAGTGATTCTAATGGTAGCTAGGGTTGAGAGGTGCTTGCTTTGGGTGGTAGCCCGGTGATAAAATAAGACCATTGTGTTCAACTTGTAGATAGTGGAAAAATGTAAAGTAGACCCTTGCTGGTTCTGGGACATGTTCCTTTATCATTATTGTGGCAGAATGGGGTCGGGTGGGGGCAGCAGCCATGGTCTTTTTGTCCTAGCTGGATGCCCTGGTGAGGAATGCAGCAGCTACGGGAAGTGTTGGGGTCCAGTTTGTGTGTTGGTTTATTATGGTACTGGGGATTGAACCCACAGCCTTTGTGTTGCGCTGCATCCCTGGCCTGTTCTTTTGTTCATTCATTCATCTAATTTTATTTTGACATAAGGTATAGCTAACTCACTAAGTTGCCACCACACCAGCCATCCTAATCTACTTTTAATTTAATAGTTTTGGCTGTTCTCTAAAAAAATTTTTTTTTTGTTTTGGTGTGGGCAGACCCCCTTCAGAGTCTGACTGATCCATCCTCATTTGTGGTTTTTTTTTTGTGTGTGTTTTTGGTTTTTCTCCGGTACCAGGAACCGAACTCACGACCTTGCGCTTGCCAGGCAAGCGCTTTTGCCGCTGAGCTAAATCCCCAGCCCCCCATCCTCATTTGTAAAAGGGGAGCGTTGGGCTAGAGCTGAAGAATCCTTACCATCACTCAAATTCTAGGATAAACAACTCAGTATTAACTTTGGAAAACTGATGATCTTGTTCAAGTTCATACGACAGCCAGACAGCCTCTCCTCACTGGTCCAGACCTTTCTTCTCTACACTCTACCTGCATTGTAAGGCCTTGTGGCCAGTGGCCAGTGGGACAGAGAGCATTGTGTGGGGAGATTGGGCATCTCAAAGGAGGTTCCGGGTGAGCCCCACACCAGGCTCCTGCTGGGGGACGAAGGGCGTCATCCCTACCTGCCAGACACTGCCAGGCTTGAGGGGTTCAGCTGTCAGTCATCACGTTTATTTCTTTCCATGTTTTGCTTTCTTTTTTTATTTTTATTT